AAAGATTAATATTTCTGCTTATTGTTTCACTCAACTAAAAGCAGCATGAGTGACTCATAACTTAACCTTATTGATACTGTTATTGATTTCTGCTAAATCAGTGACCTCCAAATAAACCTTATTTTAGCTGTACTTTATGTACACAGTGATCACCTTATGTATATCTACAAATCACTTTTACTTCTCTTTTAATTCCCTATTCATGCCCTTTGCCCATGTTTGTTGAAAAGTTGTTTTAAAAAGTATTCTTCATGATGGGGCTGGAGTGATAGCACAGCAGGTAGGGCATTTGCCTTGCACGCGACCAACCCCAGTTCGAATCCTAGTGTCCTATATGGTCCCCTGAGCACCGCCTGGAGTAATTCCTAAGTTCATGAGCCAGGAGTGACCCCTGTGCACCTCTGGGTGTGACCCAAAAAGCAAAAAAAAAGAAAAGTATTCTTCACGCATTTTAATTCTTTTCTTGTCATATCTGCAATTAATGTGACTTTTACTTTTCATAGTCTTGTAATGTTGAAAAGCATTTTTTGGTCATTTCTTACCTATTTCATTATAAACATTCTGCCTATAATTTAGTATTTTCCTATTTTAATAGTTTTTACTTTGATATTCAGCCAGTATGATCTACTTAGAATTACTTCTGATTCTCGGAGAGCCCGGCAAGCTACTGAGAGTATCCTGCCTGCATGACATAGCCTAGCAAGCTCCCCGCGGTGTATTCAATATGCCAAAAACAGTAACAACAAGTCTCACAATGGAGACGTTATTGGTGCTCGCTCGAGCAAATCAATGAACAATGGGAGGACAGTGCTACAGTGCTACAGTTAAGAAGCACAACAGCCACCTAATATTTATTATTTTTGTGGTGCTGGTTCAATAAAACCAGAGGATTGAACACAGGGCTCCACACATACAAGGCAGGTGCTCCACTGCAGGGCTCTATTCCAGGTCCTAGATGATAATTTCCTAGGGCCAGAGAGAGATAGTACAGGGGTTAAGGCATTTGCCTTGATAACTCGGATTCCTGCCCTGGTACACAGCCCTGAGTTACCCTGTTAGGCCTCTGTGCCCCACATTGCCCCACCTTCAAATTTTAGAATTTTTTTTTTAAGGATATCCAGCTGGACTAGAGCCATTACTGACTGGATTCCATGAGACGTCAAAAGATCACGTGGATGCCCACCTACAAGATGGTCAGACTTCTTCGTCAAGACCCTAAATGATTGGTTTGAGTCTCTGCATGTTCCTAGAACGAGCAGATTCCACTGGGCTACGCTAGCTTGCAAGAGGGATGAATGGAGACGTTACTGGCACCCGCTTGAATAAATTGATGAATAACGGGGTATCAAGTGATCAAGTGATCCAGCATGTTGGATAAGGAAGGCTTTACAGTATGTTATAACTGACTGGGCATGACCCACACAACTAACAGATTAGATCTATAAATAAGCAAAGAATATTTCCTCTTGGTATATTTATGTAGAAACACATCAACTTCCCAAATAATACCCTAAATCAGACGAAGAAAGAACTCAGACGAATTCTTAAGTATAACGCCATTTGTCCTGACTCACCCAACAGAGTTTTGTTTCCCAACACAATGCTGATGATCGACAGTGCAATGGGCACTCTGTTTTGGCATAGTAAAATCAGAGACTTACACAGAAGACATATTAAGTTGTACTCTTTATTTTATTATTGTTTGGGGTGGGGTATATATCTGGCAGTGCTCAGGGCTTACCACTGGCTCTCTGCTCAGATATCACACCTGGGAAGGAGCGATAGTACAGTGATTGCCTTGCAAACAGCAGAACTGGGTTTGACCCTCAGCATCCACAGGGTCCCCTAAGCACTGCCAGGAGTGATTCCTGAAAGCAGAGCAAGGAGTAAGCCTTGTGGACCGCCGGGTGTGGCCCCCAAACCCAAGTCGCCTGGTGGTGGTCATGCTTGGGGAGGGCCTCTGCAGGCCTGACCTGCTGGCCTACTTCCTTGGGTCTTCATTTTATACTTTAATAAGCTAAGAAAAACTTTTTTTTTTTGGGTCACACACGGTGATGCTCAGGGGACCATATGCGATGCTGGGAATCGAACTCGGGTCAGTTGCATGCAAGACAAAAGCCCTACCCGCTGTGCTATTGCTCCAGCCCCAAGCTAAAAAAGACTTTTAATTTTTTTTTTTAAATTTTAGAAATATCACAAATAATCCCATCAATGGCCAAAATCCAGAGACTATAAAAACAAGCTCCCAAAGAGAACAATGCAAGGTCTCCTGCCCTGTGCCTGGCTGTCCTCACTGTGGCCACTTGGAGGGGGGCGGGTTGAGTTTCCCTCCCCGCCCCGAGCAGAGCCCCAGGAGCTGCAGACCTCTGGAACCCAGCCACTTCCAAGCTAAGATCACTCTCCACACTCTCAGTCGAGCCTCACTCATGAAGGAACCAGCAGAGGAACCCAGGTGTGTGGGACCTGGGGCTGAGATCTCCAAGCCTCCTTGGATCAGGACTGGGCCTTCTCCACTCAGATACCCCATCTTCCAGTAGCTATACTGTTACACCCACCAACTGCCGTGTAATCCCATCAATGGCCAAGATCCAGAGAATATAAAACCAAGCTCCTGGAAGTGCAACCTCTTATTGTCTAGTTCTCGCTCAAAGAGAACCTGGCAGGCTATCGAGAGTAACCTGTCTGCATATATGCGTGACTTGGAACACCTGTAAAGGTGATTAGAGGCTGCCCCAAAAGCCTCCATCCCTCTCGGAGAGCCTGGCAAGCTACTGAGAGTATCTCACCCACATGGCAGAGCCTGGCAAGCTATCCGTGGCGTACTTGATATGCCAAAAACAGTAACACTGATGGTCCTCATTCCCCTCACCCTGAAAGAACCCCCAATATGCCATCAGGCTACAACAGCATGTGACAGGGACTAATGGAGATGTTACTGGCGCCTGCTTAAGCAAACTGATGAACAATGGGATGACACTGATACAGTGATACAGTGATAGAAATATCATGAGAAATAACCTTACAGACAGTAAAGGATTATCATTAAGGATAATTATCTTAAAACCAACGTGGTGAAATTGTATTTAAAATAGTTTTTTATCATACTTAGGATAGAATATATTCTAATAAAACTTGGTGGCAAAATAACAACAGCTCTATGGGGTTTTGCTTTTTTTTTTTTTAAATAAGTTGATTTTTATAATTTAGCTAAAAATGTATAGTTAAACATGATTTAGACCATTGTGGCTGAGTGATTTTTTTTCATTGAAAAGATTAAAATTTCCAGGCCAGAGCAATAGTACAGAGGGCAGGGTACTTGTCTGTATATAGCTGTTCCCAGTTCAATCCCTGGCACCATATATGGCCCCCTGAACCCTTCAAGAGTGATCCCTGAGCATAAAGCCAGAAATAAGTCTTAAGCACCACCAGATGTAGGCCAAAAAACAAACAAAAAACCCAAGTGATTAAAATTTCCAAATATATGCAATTTTAATATGAAATGGAAAACACAAACTACAACAAAGTTCTTACAATCATTTTTATTTTTATTATTATTTTTCTATATGTAGGAGTATTGCTATTTATTCAGCCATTGATTAGGCTGATTGAATTGAGTATGAACTCCACCTTACTTTTTTCCCCTTTTTTATAATTTTATTTATTGAATCACCGTGAGAGCAGTTATAAAGTTTTTGGGTTTAAGTCTCAGTCATACAATGAAACACCTGTACCTTCACCAGTGCACATTCTTAACCACCAAAGACCCCAGTATACCCCCATTCCACACCCTCCCCCTACCTGTGGGGCAGATGATTTCCACATTACTTTCTCTCTATTTTGATTACATTCAATATTTTGACACCACACCCACCATTATTATTTGGGATTTTACCCCAATACTCAGATCTGCCGAAAAGGCGACAGTAGACAATTTGTTTTCTATTGCTGGTTATGAATAACATATGATGTCACGCGGCTGTAGTGGCTGTGCAATTTTGGAATTCCAAAATTTTAACACTTAAATCTGGAGGGATTTCTGCCAAACCTGCTGGGTTTCAAGATTTGTTCCTGAGTCTCCTGGATCATGGCCGTTAAACAGCTTGATCAGGAGCCAGAGAGGCCGTTCATGAGCGGAAACAAGGAATCTTGTTGGGGTGGGGAGGAAAGGGCTGGCTCCACCCTCATCCCGTGATGCCCCGCAGGTCTTGTTACTGTGGACTCAAACCTGACTGTCCAATGGCCTCTGGAAGATGGCTGAGCCGCCAAGGGGGAGCAGGTGGAGGGACAACATTCTTTCCCCCCTGGGGTGGTCCGGTGCCAGTAACCCATTGCAGAGACTGGATGCATCTCTGCCAAAAGCCGCTGGGTTCTGAGATTTGTCTCTGAGACTCTGGGATTATGGCCATTAAGCAGTTTGATCAGGAACCAGAGAGGCCTTGCCTCCAATTATATACCTGAGCCGGAGGTGGTTTGTGGGTATGTCTCCCACATACCTAACTTTTGGCTGTTTACTTTCTTGGTAAACTTTGCCCCAAGTTTTTGAGGTCTGGCCAAAGAGGCACAGCTGCAATTTTGGGGTATCAGGAAGTCTGAAGGCACCATCAGGCTGCTGATGCACTCTCCTCAAAGATTGACCTGCTGGTGGCACCATACCCCCTTACAATCATTTTTAAAAGCACAGCTTCATCTTTACAAAGAATGCCTCAGAAAATAAGCAAATCTGGTCAAATCACTTACATGCCAAATAAGGGGCAGTTTATTTTTCAAAACCAAAATTCTAATTACTAATAGTTTTAGATTATAACAAAAACACACAATTTAGGACTATAAAATATACTTACAAAACTTGAACTGTTCACACGTGACCAAACCAGCATTTTGATAGAAAATTAGTCTGGATAGTGAAGAGTGAAAAGGAAAACAAATGGCTTACAGCCCATGCTCAGAGCCACCCATGCCCCTGAAGAATGACCAAGTGCAAGGCCACTGCTGTGACTTACCTGCCCACTGCCAGAAGCTGCCATGCTGACGTCTACCACTCCCTGGCCTTCACTCTGCCGTTCTGCTTCCTGCGAGCCATTTTCATGCTTGTGCTGAGCTGGTCTCTGGTAAGAGGAGACACAGTCACCCAGAGAAATGGCTCCTGCCTCCTGCACAGCAGTTCCTGTTACCATTCTAACACTCCAAATGCAAGCATGGAGCACAAGGCCATACACTGTGCATTATACACCAAAGTGTCTGCACTGTGGCCATCTGTGTGCCATAGGAGCCGGGGAAATGTCATGACTATATGTGCTTTCTGTCAGGTTGTTTCTTACTTTTATGCTTTTAAGTGGGGGAAAAAAAATCAAATGAACTGAATTAGTTTTAAAATTTTGCTTCCTTTTGAGTGTAGGATAGGAAAAAGATGACTGCCTTTGTAAGAATTGAGAGATCCGGAAGATTTCTGTGAGGTCTAACTTCCTTTGTTTTGGGAATAAAGAGATAGTGTTGTAGATTTATTTCTCCAGGAGAAAAGAACCTAAGAAGTATGCCTATTGATTCCTGAATATCTTGAGGAAGGAAACAGGTTTCTGGGCAGTGGCATGCCCCGCCTTGTATACCCTCCCCCTTGGTCCCCATGTAACGGACAATCTAAGCAAATGGGGATGGCTTTGGGAAAAGGTCAGGAATACAGCAGCCACTCCCATCGCTCAGCCTTTTCAAAAGTCCACACACCCCACCCCAAAGTCCCCAGCAACAGACCTACACATTCTGGCCAAGACAGGTGTCTCCCCCTGTCACCCTTGACTCTTAATTTTCTTCTGATTTCTCCCTGCTCTGCAGTTTGCGTCAAGTTTTTCAATTTCAAAAATTCTTACCAAATGCCTAGTAGTTTCCAGCTCTTTGGCTGGTTTTAAAATTCTGTTTATGGTCAGGAGCCGGCTAGCTATTCAGTCTGAAGCGGGGAGAATGTGGGAGGAGGTGCGTGTGTATGTGTTTGTGTGTGTGTGTGTTGGGGGATGCAGCTGCCCCTTCCTGGTGGAACAGAAACAGAAATTCTGCTAAGCTCACGGTATTCTACTTTCTGTCACTCCCCCCAAGGAAAGCCCCCAAGGAAAGAAAACCATCACAACCCCCCCCACTCCAACACATGGTTGCCTGGAACAAAACATGGACTTGGCAGGGTGGGTTTTGAAGGTGGTGGAGCTTACACCTCTCAGGAAGAGAAGTCAACAGAAGCCAACATGTGCTAACACAGTGTCTTGGAGGGGCACGAGGCTCCACATGCAGCAGGAAACTCCCTATGCTTACACACGTCCTGGGCTTTAGTGAATCTGCACATAAAACACAGATGTGCAACTTTTGCTAAGTCAGACAAAACGAACAGATTCTAGTATGAAAACCAAAAAATGCCTTTTCAAAAGAGACCGGCAGAGCTATCTTGGGTCCCAAACACTTTTCTCATGATCTTTGATTTGTTTTGTTTTAGGGGTGTACCCAGCAGTGTTGGGCCCACTAGTGGCTCTGCGCTGGGCTTGATCCTCGCCTCCTATATCCAGAGCACATGTTCCAGCTTCTGGGGCTCTGGGCTTCATAGAAATAGTTAAAAGTGAGGGTCAGATCTATAGTACAGTGGGGAGGACACTTGCCTCACTTGTGGCCGACCCAGGTTCAATTCCCACCATCTCATATGGTCCTCAGGGTCCTGCCAGGAGTGATTCCTGAGCACAGAGCCAGGAGTAACCCGTGAGGACCCCCAGGTATGGCCTCAACACTGAAAACAAGAGAGAGAGAGAAAAAAAAAAGAGGCTTGCTCTAGGAAAACATTACCCTAAAAAATTTTTGGCATAACGTGGGTATTCACACACAATATTCACAAAATATTAGATAATATTCACAAAGGGTTCACACTGAGATTTCTTACATATCAAGTGCTCCTACCACTTAAATGTGTCTTAAAAATTAATTTACAAATAACATGACATCAATAAATGATTATATTTAAGCAAAAGTGAGTGGTCCAGTAATTTAAAAACTTCAACACACTGTAAGTTTAGCAAAACCAACAAATGCCAATCTAGAGACCAAGTCAACCTTGTGACAAAGTAATCAAAGACCACAAAACTCGTTAAGATTTGATGCTGACATAATTAAGAGTGCCAATGTAGAGGCAATTCCTGAGAGCCTGCTGTGTGCTTACTGTAAGAGATGCTGAGGAGTACAATGCTGGGAAAATCGGCTGCTGCTAACTGAGATTAGTAACAGTGAAGCTAAAACTTTGACCTATTTTCTGGAAGCCAGGCACAAAGTGCTATGGAGATATCTACAGGAGTATCACAGGGACCAGGAGTGTGGGGAGTGCTCTGACTGGAGGGACAGTTTGGCCAAAAGACTGCCAAATAAACTGGTCTTCCAGGAAAGGTAAGTGGGCCTGGAAGAGAGGCTGGAGGCAAATAGAGGATCAGATGCACAGAACCCTGGACGGGAAGAAGCACTACGTCATGGTGTGGACAGGAGGAGAGAACGATGGGGAAAACTGGACGGATTTTTTTTGAATTTCAGTGTTATTCTCAGATGTCACTTTTGCTCCCACATAATTAACACTAATATAGGGAGACTTGCATGGTAATGGATTTATATTAGAACTATAAATGGTCATAGTGAGGAAGTACAGACAAGTTTTGGAGGCTAGTGCATTAATGTATGTAGGATGGAAATAGTGATGGAGATCAAAGAATGAAAACTTAGATGCAAACTGGAAGGAGATGGTGAGAGACGAACCTAGTTAGTGAGTGGGGAAAAGATCTGGGGTCAAGAGCTACTTCTTTGGCCTTCAGTGAACACAAATAAAAAAATAATGCTGCCACTCACAGAAACAAGCAATACACAGAAGGATGAAGTTTGTTTTAGCATGGAGGGACAAGGAGGGCTTGGGAGATCATTAGAAAAACATTAATTATGCTTTTGATATGATTTAAAGTATCCCTGAAATACCTCAGTGGGATGCAAGCATACATCTTAGATTCTGGAGCTCAGGACCAGAAAATAAATTTGGGAACCAGTACGAAGCTGTAATCTTAGGGAAACACAGAATAAAGATAAATAAGCCTTAAGGAACGAATGCCTAAAATTGTTGTCTAAAGGAATATGAACTTGAGAACTGCTGAAGAGGTGGGAGAAACCAAAATCAGCATTGTCACAGATTCAAGAAGATTTTGGCAACATGAAGTACTAAAAAAATGTGGACTGTGTCAAAGTGAAATGGAAAATGTGAATTAATTAATAACATAAAAGTCATCGATTACTGGAGCAGGATTATACTGGTATGTGTTGAGTGAAAAGCAGGGAAGAAATAAACACTCGAGTCTAGAAACATCTTTGCAGGGAGGACTAAGAGAGGGAGAGGAGGTGAAATAAAGAAAAAAGAGTTGAGGTGAGTCTCACACCAGTGGGAATGGCACATATCAGAAATACTGGGCAATCTCTGTTGGTGGTAAAAAAAGAAACTGTTATCTACTGCTAGTGAGAATGCTATCTGGTTCAACTCCTAAGTATGGAGGTTTCTTAATAAACTCAGAACTGAGCTCCCATATGATCTGGCAATTCCTCTTTTGGACATCTATCCCCAGGACAGAAAAACATTCATTCAAAAAAGAATGTATGCACACCATAATTCATTGCAGCACTCAGTACAATAGCTAAGATTTGGATTTGTTCAATGACAGATGAGTGTATCATGAAGATGTGGTATGTATACACAATGGAAAACCACACAGCTGTGAGGAAGGATGAAATCATGCAATTCACAGCAACCTGGATGGAACTGGAAGATAACATGTTAAGTGAAGTCAGAAAAACAGACAAACACAGAATAATTATTTGTGGTATTTAGAATGACTGGATGAAGAAATGCAATGGTCTAAAGGGGGATGCCCAGATCACCCCTGATTCCAAAGTATAGGAAGAAGGAAAGACAATGAATATGGGGAGGGGAAGAGCAGAGATAGATGAGAAGCAATGGGGCAGGGTAAAAGGGTTCAGGTACAAAGGTGGGGTAAGAAATGCTAGAGAAAAATATCCAAACCACAGAGTCCACAACACTGAAGCCAAGAGACCCAAACTTTAACAACTGCACTTAAAAGGGTGCCTGTGGAGAGGGCAGGTGGGGAGGGGAGGGGATGGGGTTGGGGAAAGAGAGCCAGAGGACAATGGGGGGCGGGGAACAAAGTTGACAGTGGTGGTGGGATGAACAGTGTATGCCTGAAACTCAGTTATAACTGTAAATCATAGTGCTTTCATAAAATTAAATTAAAAAAAAAAAGATTGGCAGTGATAACGTTGAAGTTTTGTTGTTTTTTTTCTTTTTGGGTCACACCCAGCTATGCTCAGGGGATTACTTCTGGCGCTACACTCGGAAATTACTCCTGGCCGTTCTTGGGGGATGATATGAGATGCTGGGAATCTAACCCGGGTTAGCCGCGTGCAAAGCAAACACCCTACCCAATGTACTATCGCTCCAGCTCCTCATTTTTTGTTTTTAAAGGTAAGATTTGAGCATGCTTAAGTGAACAGAAGAGAAAAGATCACTAATTGAGAAAAGATTTCAGAGCAGCAAGTCATTGAGAAGACAGCCGAGAAGGCAGGCAGAACCTTCCCGAGCCAGGCCTCCTGGGCTCCTGCAGAGGAAGGGAAAGACAGAGAGGACAGGTCAGTGAAGAGCTGCCCCAGGGCTGAGAGCACAGGGCAATGAGAAGCACAATGTGTACCCCACCCCAACCCACCCCTTGGGCCTACTATCAACTTGGCGGGGAGGGAATCTCTGGCCTTAAGTATCTAGTGAACAGAAAGCTAGAGGGTGGACAAGAGCCCAGGAGAGCACTTAATGCTCCTTTAATGACCTCCCTGCCCCCTCTGTCTTTTCTTACTTCTCTTTGTTCTGTTCTGACCCCAGGCTACTGATCAGCCTGCACAGTTCAAAAAAGACTGAACTGCAGGGCCAGGGGTAACCCTGACTACTGGGAGAAATCTGTACTTAGATTCTTCCTCCCCACAGCTCTTATCCCATGTACCCAAAAGACAGCTCTGGCAGGCATGGTCCCACCCTCAGCACCACAGGAGTGAC